TCTATCTATCTATCTATCTATCTATCTATCTATCTATCTATCTATCTATCTATCTATGCCAAGCGGTGTCTCTCCTACCGCACCGTTGAATCCGACACCCACCATCCAGACCGCCGCGCCTTTCCCCCACCACATGCCACACAACACACGACCTCAAAGTGGTCCTCCCTCTCTTCTGCGCATCCACCAACGCGGGCAACGCACACTTCAGAATTACCGAAGTGTTTCTAACGATGGCACAGGAGAGGGAGAATGGTAATTTATAGTGACTAGGGGATGGTCGTCATTAGACACGGACTACTACGGCGGACAGGAATTGCAAGGCCGTTCGGATCGCAACCACACGAAGAACAAAAAAGCACTAAAAACCAAAAAAAAAAAAAAATCAAAACAAACTCGCAAAAATATATATATATAAAATAAAAAAGCAAAAGAAAAGTGATAAAACACACGTGCGGGCCGCAAATAATGGACACCTGTACACATCGGCCAGTCCCTTGTATGACGGGTCTGACACCTGTCCACATCGGCCAGTCCCTTTTATGACGGGTCGTTGTCTCCTCTGCCGCGTGTGGAGTTTGACGATCTGGCGGCCATGACTGCTACGAGGCTTTGCAGAACAGCGTTCCCCTTGTGCATGGCACCCGCGACAGCTCCGATCTGGACTGCGACGTCGCCGATCTTTGTGGACATCATAGCGGCTCCCTCGCATGTAGCTCGAGCCAGTGTTCCGGAACGTTGACGAGACCTTCGCAAAGAGTTTTCGCCGAGTTCTACATGGCTGTCTTCGTCGAAGATGAGGATGCGGGTGCATCGCCACGCACCCTACCCGATGATGTCCTGTGCGGCCTGCCACTCGTGTCCGAAGCGTCCATGCCACCGCCATCGGATGCGACACCCCCACCCCTCCTCGAACCGCCTCATACGTCTCCTTCCCCGGTTCCGATCCCTCCACCTATCTCGCCCGATCGGCTCCCTCCACCAGCAAGACCCGATCCAGTCCCGCCCTGGCCCTGCCCCGACAAGTTGCCCCCTCCACCTTCACCCCCATCACTACCGCCACCGCTGCGCCCCGATCCGCTCCCTCCGCCACCTGCCAGGTCCTCTCAAGCGAGAGTGGCGTCGCACGTGTACGACTTCTTCAATCGCCACCACTCCATCGCATCCCAAAGAGGCTCCTCGAACGTTGTGCAGACCTCCTACTCCCGTCGCTGCTCTGTAGTCATGTTGAAGTACCCTGCCTCCCCAGACCTGTAGCACTTATCCCCGATCTGGCTAACGATCTCCTTGAGTTTCGTCCACTTCTTTTGCAGTCCTCCGCTGTCCTGTTGTACCCCTCCTCCTTCAATCGATATGCGATCCATTCGTATATTTTGGCACGCGTCTTGTGCTTATGCACGGCGTTGGCGTCGGCCATGAGGGCATCGTCTTCCGCGCAATTCCTCGCCAACGCTATCCGCTCCTCCAAGGTCCACTGGTTGTTCTTCTTCCCCCCCTCCGCCCTCGGCGCCCTCCTCACACGCTGCTTCTTTTGCCCCGACGCCGTATCCTCCGCCGATCGACCGACATCGCCCCGCATGACCGAACCTTCGCCGACAGCATCGTCCGCTGTCCTTTTGCCCGTGACATTGCCTGCAGGCCCCCCTGACCGAGAAGGTGTGGAAGAAGCAACGGCCTCATCACCGAACTGCATCGCAGTTGTCTYGCCATGCCACCCCTCAACCGCAAATGCAGTCCTTTCTCCACCGCCAGCTGTTCCAAAGCTTGAAAATCCACCCCCCCACCCCGACGACTGACCATGCATGAATCCACCTTCAGACAAACGTGCAGGCACTGGACCTTGTACCTGAGCGCGCATGGTTTGGGGCTGTGGATAAACGTTTGCGGGAACGTGCGACTGCCTTTCCGTGTGATCGGCCATCACGACGTTCTCCATTCTTCCACCCGGCGACGAGCGTCGTGGACCTGCAACACCGCATGACATGACCGATCCGTACGGGGAATGCGCCATACCCTGCGAACTCCCCGGTGCCCATGCAGCAGACGGATCGTCGTTGCCTACCGCCCCTCCCCACGCGTTAGACGGCAGTTCAGCGGGCGGGTAAACACCGATGGACTCGTCATGCATCTGCACCGCTTGGCGAGCATACAAGGAGGAAGAACCACGAACACCCGCTCCCGCTCCACCTCCCGCTTGCCCTCCCCGGCTCGAAGGTGGAACCGATGTGTACAGCCATTGCTGTGCACCGGGCTGGAATCCCTCGTTGCTGAACGGTGTGTGCGGCCATTGTCGTGCCGAGCCACGCTGCACACCTCCACCTCGGTCCATCTGAGTGCCAGCGATGTCCTCTACACCTGACCGATCAGAATCCATGGCGTCGTCATACTCCCCCATAAGCTCGGACGTGAATCGGCGTCCTTCCATACCTCACGCAGTTGGGGCAGTTCTCTTTGCAAGCAGCTGCACCTCCTTACCCTCTCGAAGTCAGAACATGAACCGCAAAGCGGCGATCAAGCACACGGTCAGACAGACGATGGCTATGGCGGCCAAACAAAGGAGCATGCAAAGGACGACGACGACCCCCAAGATGGCTTGGCCGACCACTGACCGGCGACTACAGTCGGGCATGCACGAAACGATGATCACCACCGGTCGTTGGGTCGGAGCGCAGTCCGTGCACTCGCGGACCGTGCGCTGCCTCGCAGGGACTGCTTCCCCGCTGCTCGTCACAAGGATGGTATGCCGATCTTTGGAGATGGCGAAGGGGGACCGAGATGCAGTGTCACCAACACCATCTACCACCGACAGCATCTGCCGAGGAGGACGTGATGGCAGCGCGGGGACGGTGGTGGGTCGTAAAGCCGGCAAGACGTTCGTCGGGCAGTGCGATTTCAGAAATGGTAAAGTCTACACCTTGGAAGCACACACCGGAGGAACGGAGAATTGACGGACGAACATGAGCGGCTGTGCTATGACATCTGTCCTTTTCCGGAGCATGAAGGACTTGCATTGCCTCTGCGCAGCCACTCTCCCGTTCATACCCGGTGGTACACACCGCCGGAGGCCATGGACGTAGAGGCAGTCAGCGATGCTTCGATGAAACACGCTGGCGATGGAACGCATGGCAGTGGATGGAGGAGGCAGTCCGCGAGACTTGGGGGACCAGGATTTTCACCCCGCTGTGCACACAGGCGGCAAGGGACGTCCGCTGTTTGCACGGCATGCGAATTGGACCACGGCCTGCTTGACGCCCATCCTCGTACAATCGGCAGTTTTCGAATTCGAATTCGAATTCGAATTCGAAAAACCGGCGGCCCCGACCGCCCCTCCAGCACTCGCCCTGGCGGGGAGTCGTTTGTGGGTGACAACAGGAAGTCCGTCTACCGACTGCAAGGACCACGGGACGTGCAGGCTCGGACCACGGTTGGACCAGCACTTTCCAGAAGAAGTTTCCAAGAGAGAGATGCCCCCCCCCTTACCCTCTCGAAATGGCACAAAATTCCGGCGCAAGATGATCGCGTGCCGCCACGACACCACGGTACGAATGTGAAAACACGGAACTCCAATTTTCCGAACAACCTTTCCGACGCGGTGGGGTCTTCGAAAACAGCCGGAAACTCCCACAATCGAATTTCCAGACGGCCATCTTCTTCCAATGTAATCCCGGAAAAGTTTTTCCAGGCCATCTTTTCCAGGACTTTTCCACGATTTCGTCCTGTGGGGTCCAGGCCTGACTCTCCGAACTTGGTGAATGCAAAATGTGTCAGACGCCACACCGTGGACACAAGTTTTAGAGAGTGGTTTCAGTTTCCCCACCTGTGGGCATACTCACACTAGCACGTACTTCTGCAAATTTTACGTATGTGAATTTGCATTTATATGGCACCTGCGGGTCACACTGCTCACCCGTTTGTTGCCCAAAGCAGAAAGGACAGGGTCACGACCTAGCCTTGAGATGTGAAAATACGTTCTGTGCAGTCAGACAGCACAATGCACTTAAAAAAAAAAAAAAAATGCTTCCAGAAAGCAGTAGAGGAAAAGGAAATACGATTGTAAGCCCGCGGTGCCCTTTTGTGCGAACACGCAAAATACGTGCCTCTTGTGACCCGAAAAACTACATAAAATTTGCGATTTTGCAAAAATACGTGGTAGTGTGAGTGTGCCCTGTTTACGGCTGTTTGTGGAGGGTGGTCCTCGGACCTCTCCTCAAAACAACTTTCTGGAGAGTGCAGGGCTTCACGAGTAGACATCAGGTAGACACAATTTTTTAACTTTTCTGTAGAAGAAACATAGTGGAGAGTAGAAAACTGCGCTTTCGACATTTTCTCCTCGCCACACAGCATGTCGAAATCCGAGATGCAAAAAAAAATCAGGAGCTGTCAGGGAAAGGGTTTCGAACACCTCCTGTCGAGAAGGGCTCGTTTCCTGGCCTGCAACCTGCACATTTTCAAAAGTCCTCGGATGGGATGTCAAATTCTTCCCCGAATGCCGAAAAAGAGAAAGCTTGTCCTATCTTCACCCCTGTTTGTCTCTTTTGTGCACAGGACCTGTGAGTTCTTCACTTCAGCATGCTGTGTGGCGAAGAGGGGTTTTCTGTCGAAAGAGGGAATGTAGAGAATTTCCTGACATATGTCGAATTTCGTGATGTTTCTACATTGGTGTGGCGAGGCCCTAAGTGCAGCCAGGCCTCGAGTTCAAAACGATTTTCATTTTTTTCACTCTCCAGGCATTCGTCACAATTCGGAGAGTAGTGCAACTAGGCCCTTAGAGCCAGCAAGGTTTTTCACGAGTTCCCAGAATAGTCTGGAGAAGTAGAGACAACTGGTCTTGCTCCACTACTCTAGACTCTCGAAGATTTTTGAGAGTGAGTCTAGAGCTGTCATACTCTAGAAATGACTGAAAAAGAGAACATCGCTCCACTTACTCTAGAAGGTCAAACTCGAGAACGCCTCTCGGATGTCAGACCGCTCTTTGAGAGAGCTACACGACACGGCCAGCACCTTGTTGTCCGCCCAGAATCCAGGTGCACTCCATAAAAATGCTCAACTTTCGAAGGTCCTGGATGCCTCCCTTGAAATTCCGGCCGCTGCAGGCGGGAGCTCTCGAATCTTCAAGAGTGCCAGGGGAGGGGAGAGGAGGTTCTGACAACTCAATAAATGCACTTTCGTGAGTGTGTTTCATGAGGTAGTGGAGCTACGACGGATTCTCGCCATTTTCGTGAGTAGATACTGACAGCTCAAGAACCCAAATTCCAGAGCTGGCGTCTAGAGTAAGTGGAGCGGTGCAGCGCTCGAGAAATGGCCTGTTTCTAGAGTAGTGGAGCGAGACCCAACATCTGCTGTCGCCACCAGCTTGGACTGGTGCGTGGGAGCATTTTGGACACATTCACAGGACTGGTGAATTTCAGCGCTTCTTCGGAGGCAGCCGGAAGGACCCACGAAACCCCCCACAAACAAGTTCCTTGCGAGGGCATTTGTCTGACTCCTCAAGATTCCAATTCCATGAAAGGATGTAAGTCGTGAAGCCCTGTGGCCGCGGTGATGAAACCGAATGAGTTGCAATTTTCTTTTCGCTTGCTGGTTCACACACTGACAGGGAGAAGTACAAATGCTATGCATTTCATGTCTATTTGGCCACAGGCTCTGGTGGTGATTGCAGCCAGGTACGTCCATGGCCGGTCGTAATTGTGGCCGGATACGTCAAGGAAAGCGCTACTGTGGTCTTCATTTAGGAAATCCTCAGTGGCAATGACAAGCCCAAGACATTCCTCTGACGGAAGACTCAGTGCCGACTCACGGTGGCATGCAATTTCAGCTACTTTGCGATCGTAGGGCACCACCTCGTAGCACAAAGCAGAAAAGACACTGCCGTGACCAGTCCTCAAAATGGAAATTTACGCATCTTCTCGTCACATGGCACAAGGAACAAAAAATTGAGCGTAAAAAGAATATAATAATAATAAGAAAATTGAGCGTGAAGTTGCCGTGAACGCGGAAAGAAATCACACACACACACACACACACACACACACACACACGCAAAAAAAAAAAAAAAAAGAGCGCTCTCGCCACCGCTGACATATTCGTAGTATTTCATACCCACATACATGAATTAGCAAAAAATAAAGCGACCGCGTGTGGCCCTAAAAGTGACGAAAATTTTGCAATTTTGCGATCATTTCAGATTTTGGTGTGAGGATGCCCTCACAGGAGGAAGTGACGAACACTTCGCAATTTTGCGATTTTAGATTTTGGTGTGAGCATGCCCTCACAGGAGGACTTTCCTGAATGTATCTGATGGCTTTTACGGCAACGCCTTGATGCACCTGAGCGCGATTTCGTCCAGAGAGAGGTTCAAGAAATCTTAGTGCGAGTACTATGCCTTATTCGGGAGACAGCATCCTCGGCTGATGAAATCGCAGACAGCACCTGCTCGGAAAAAAAAGGGAAAGGATTTTTTTTTTA